ATTTGACAGTCATTTCTAATGTATGTAATAATGCCTCTATGGGGTCTGGCACATTGCTGATTTAATGCAAAATCCAACCTGAACATGCTGTAATTCCCCAAATCATAATCTTCATTTTCATCTGATGATGTCAACCAAGTTGCAGCTACTCCTATGATATGACACCGTTGAAGATTTGGCTCATTTTTGAAACTTGCAAAATGGGCATGCAGTGATCTTACATTCTGAAATGCAATGTTTATGGTCTGGTTGTTTGTTGAATCTATCGGCTGAAAACATAATTGTAATGTTGCTTCTGTCCGTAGTCTACACATTTCTTTTTTCACCTTCTCAGATGCACACATTTTGTTTTCATTTAAACTCAAGATATGAAGTCCTGTAATCTTCGTAACCCTGCTTAGAGCAACATAGTGAATGTGTGGCAATGAAAATTTTGGATTCATATCGAGATTGATAACAGCTTGATCCATTGTGTCCCCCTGAGATTTGTGCACAGTCTTGGCTGCAGAAAGTCGCAATGGAAATTGTATACGAACAACAGTGTGTCGCAGGTACTGAAAGCTCCTTCTCACATCAAATATTGGTGTCCAAGACTTATCTACTTCATGCCCAAAGAGATGTCTATACTGATATCTCCATGATTTTGCAGTATTTCTGTCATCAAAAGAAACCCATATTATACTTGGTCTTTCAGTGTTTTCTTGTCTCCTATCTATGTACTCTACTCTACATGATGTACCATTTGTAAGCCCATCGTCAACAGATAAGTTTGCAGTTATTTCATACTGGAGACCAAGTGCTATGGGAACATTTTTAGCCAATCCAGCTGTTTTAGAGGAGTCATCTGGCAAATTTAAGTGCTGTATTAAATTTTCCCTTCCTACTACAGAATCATGAGCTGGTATATTGACCTTTTCACCTTGAGCCAATAGAAACACTTGGTTGTTGTAAGCATTCACACTTTCATTTCTGGTATACAATCGTGTAACATTTCTAAAACATTCTGATTGTGATTCATCTACACAGTGCTGCTTCAACGTCTGTATATCAGCTTCAGATTGATTTCCTTCTCGTAAACGGTTAAGTAACTCAGCAAACTGAACATCATCTTTCTGTCTCATTATTTCTGTAAGCTCATGCATTGTGAACAATTCCCGCCATAAGTTTATTGCCAATGGTCCAAAGTTTTTCTTCAAGTCATCGAAAACCCATCCATCCATTACTGGCTTTAACTGGAAAAGATCTCCTATCAAAATTACATTGACACCTCCAAAATATTCCATGCTCCCTTTTATCTGCTTCAGACGCTCATGTACGCAATTTAACTGAGAATTTCCGACCATTGAAACTTCATCAATGATGACCGTTGACAAATATTTGTACTTTGTCCTAAGTGTGTTCAAAGATTCACTATCAAGAGGCTTGCAGTTAAACCCCTGACTTGCTGGAATTTTGAATGCTGAATGTATTGTCTGTCCTTTTATATTAAATGCAGCTTTTCCAGTTGGAGCACAAAGTAGAACCTTGCAGTCATCTGGATTTTCACCTTCAGTAGAGCAATAGTGTCTTGTGAGTGCCTCATACAAAGCTCTTACAACAACAGACTTTCCAACTCCTGCACCACCAGTAAGGAAAACTCTAAGTGGTTCTTTTTTGGTTTTAATCCAATGAAGCACATGAGTAAAGAAGTCCATTTGCTTTTTGTTTAACTTGCTAACTAACTGAAAATACAACTCATTGGTCATTTTGTACTGAAGAGTTTGATCATCATTAGTAGAACAACTTGGTAATCCAAGATCTACTCCAATGTCATAGTTCTGGTGATTTTCTGGACGCTTTGGGTCAAAATACACAAATGCCTCACTTTCCCTACTTCCTTCTTCCAAGTCTTCTTGTTCAGTTTGCTCTGCACTAGGTGCAACTCTATCAAATTGTACATTAGCCTCTTCAGCTTGCCTCTGTGCCTCTTCCAACTCCCCTGCATTGCGTTCATACTTCTTTACTTTAGCACCTATAAAACTCTTCAGTTGGTTGTATTTTTCTTCATATGTTGATTTGTTTCCTTTTATGTCTATTTCTTCCTTTCTCCACGGATGGAAAAGCAAAATCCTTTCTCTATAATGATTTTCAGAATCAACTTTGATGGAGTAGTTGACATAACGAATGCATTTAGCCTTCCTCCTTTGCCTTATGATGATGCCATTTTTTAAAACTATCCTAATCAGCTCTGAATTGATCTCTTCATCTTCCAATTCTCTGAATTCTTGTTCATCTTCAGAATCATCATTTTGCTCTAGAAGCTCATTTTCTTTGAATTCTTCTGGATATACAATTTCTAGTTCTGCTGCATAGTCTGCTAAACACCAGTTTTCAAGTTGCCTTGGTCTTTGAGAATAACGCTTGATCACACTGCTTGCATGAATGTCTGTGGAATTCTCTGGTAATTCTTCTAAAGCAGACTTACATTTCAATAGAGTTCTTTCTTCTGGCGGTGATGTATTTATAAATACAACATCTCTTGAACTTTTTGTTAAGGGCAATTGTAAATTCAAGTATGCTGCTTCTTGTGCACTTATCTCAACTGCATTCAAGAACTTGTTTCCCATGTGTCGAACCTGTTTTTTCAAATCCATATTTCCTTCTCTTGCTTCCTTACATGCTTGATCAAGCAGATTACTCATTCCACGTTGAGACTTGCTAATGTAGGACACTATGTACATGGCACATGCATATGGGTCCAACACAAACTGCAAATCATGATTAGCTCGCCATGCTGTTAAAACATTTTTCATATAAGGATTAACTCTTATTTCACTAGGGATTCTCTTCAGAAAAAGCTGTGGTCCATCAAGGGAACTCCTGACTGACTTTATGTAATCTTCTTTCTCCAGGTTCAGTGAATGTAGAAATTCATTGAAAGAAATACTTTTCCCTTCTTTCATATCTGCTAATTCTTTCTTAACCTTTGCAAAAATTTCTTTGTATCTCATTGAATCTGGATCATCTGCTGTTAAAGGTTCTAAAATCAAAGTTGAATCCATGGGAGGCTGAGGAAATCCAAATCGACAAATGTCTTTTCCTTTTTTCCTACATGTTCTGGAATGTTTGTGAATTTGTAAATCTACAAATTCTCTATCGTCATCATCACAGTTTGCAGAGCAAGACACATACTTGTCTATAAATTGTGCAATTTCAGACACTGGATTTTCTTTAAATTTTGGAGCATCTTTTATCCACATGAGCATATGAATGTGAGGTGATCCTCTATGCTGAAATTCAACACGATAAAAAAAATCTATCAGTTCTCCGACAGGATGATCCTCATTCTTCAAAACAGTATTAATAAACACATGTACTCTATGATCAAAAAAGCGAACACATGTTACCGGATCTTTTTGCACCAAGTCAGTTTTTTCAGCCCATGTCATATTGTCTATTTCCTCGTCAGTTAGTGATTTCTTGAGATTGAGTTGAGCAAGAGTTTTGAGTAACTCAGACCATCTTGTATCTGCTGCTGATAAAGATGCAAACCATGTTGGTAATCCCAATTGTCTAATCATTGCAAACAACTCTTTCTTTTTGGCCTCAAGATATGGAGGACTGTTCCGTAAAGTTCTAAAAATGTAATATCCCTCATCTAATCTTGTTATCTTGTCAAGTATTTCCTGATTGAGAACATCACCTGCTGTTAATTTCTTCTCTGTGCCCTTGCATCTTCTTAATACAAGATTGACTTTGTCTGATATTTGCTTCATTTGAATTTTCTTCATTTTGAAAAATAAATTTGGCACACTGTTTGCTGCACGTCTGTCAATATTTCTTAGTTCCCATTTCACAAGATCACTGTAATGAACTTTAACTTCACGATCATCATTTGATGCCATCCTCTGACCACAGTAAATGGTTGGAAAAGACAAGAATTCTGCATCCTTATCAGTGTACAAACTCAATGGGGTTTGACCTTCTCCTGGAGCAAATGTATACACCTGATCTTGCACAGGATTTGCATCATCCAATAATGTGTCACAACTGCCAGAATTCCCCTCTCTTTCATCAAGTTCTTCAAAATGACTCTCTTCTAACCTGTCTGATGTGCCATCAAGGTTTGTATTCCTTGCTTCAGTACACCCAGAAGTACTTGTGTTAAAATATTCTGAAATAATTTCACTACTATCTGCATTTATTCTGGCTTCCCATTCATCATCTAAATGAATATTTGCATCTTTGTACATTTGGCTATTTCTCATCAACCAGTGTAATGCAATGATTACATGCTGTGGTCTCACATTTTCCACAAAATCACAAGTTTTGTAACTTAGTCTCTTCTTTAAGCGGACTGGCACTGTAATATCATTGTTAAACTGTCTTGGCAAAGAGTTTACAGTTGGTTGGATATCTACTGGAACATTAACAACATTTCCTTTGATAGATAACTGTCTTCCTCTAGGCAACTCTCTTAGCTGCATAAATGGAATCCGTAGAGCTATGAGGCGTTCTTCTAACTGATGAAGTTCAAGTTCTTCAGGTTTGGTAGGAAATTGTACATGGTTTGCTATTGACAACTTTGGCATTTTCTTTTCTTGTATTGATTTCTTACATGTTAAACATATCCATTCTTTTCCTCCAATTGAAACATAGTTGGTGAGAAATTTTGCAACATCTTCAGTAGGTAAATTTTTTCTAAGAAAGTTGCTATCAACAACTGAATGAGAAAACCAGGTCTGGTGACAGCATGTACATACATATAATGGTCCTTCTTCTATTCTTTTGTTAAATGCTGATATTGCATTTGTAAGTGATGTTCCATTCTTTCTGCATTTTCTTGCAATATTTTCCTTCCTACAAAACCGAGGATCTTTTCTTTTTTGGGCTTTAGCACTCTTTTCTCTAGACTGTTCATTCTCACGATAGTCAATATTGTTTCTCTTCACAGATTTTCTTATGCGTTCCATTTCAAGAAATGCAGAATCTTCCCTACACTTCCTTTTTCTTCTGACATCTCAGTCATGTTCATTATTCATTATGTCTATATTTGCTCTTTGTTTTTGCTTAGCATTTCTCTCTCTTTCTTTCTCAGAAAGTCTAAATATTGGGTCATTTCTCTTTCTTTTCTTTGTGATTTTGTCCTTTTCTTTCTCAATGCATCTCATTTCTTTGTCTAATCGTTTAACCTGTTTTGTTGCTCTTTCCCTCCCTTTCTCAATGTTTCTTGACTCTTTGTCTAGCCGTTTTGCTTGCCTTGCTATTTTGTCCCTTTCTTTCTCAATGTTTCTTGACTCTTTGTCTAACCGTTTGGCTTTTCTTGCATTTTTGTCCCTTTCTTTCTCAGTGCATCTCATTTCTTTGTCTAATCGTTTTAACTGTTTTGTTGCTCTTTCTCTTCCTCTCTCAATGTTTCTTGACTCTTTGTCTAACCTTTTGGCTTGTCTTGCTGTTTTGTCCCTTTCTTTCTCAATGGTTCTTTTTGTATTGTCTAATCTTTTTTCTTGCTTTGCCAATTTGTCTCTTACTTTCTCAATATTTCTAGCATGTTCATTTTTCCTCCAATTTTTCATGTAATTTCTAATGTACTCATTTCTGGAATATCTGATTTTTCCTTCCTTTTCCTTTCTTTTGACCATATTTTTCAGTCTACATTCTTGATCATCAAAATATCTATCTAGAAGGACATCACCTTTTTCAATTTCTGCTGCTCTATCAGATGAACTTTCCTCTACTATGTGTATGTCATCAGTACCTAATTCAATGATATTTACTGGCGTTATTTCAAATTGAGAATTCTGGTTAACAGAGAGAGATAATGCCAACTGCAAACAATGTTGTGCCACACCTTCCAGTGTCTCTACTCCAATCAATGTACTTTTTCCATTAGCATCAAGTAATCCACTCTGATCTCGTGCATGGGAATCAAAAAGAAAGTATTGTTTTCCAACTTTCATCACAGAAAAAGTGTTTCCACCAAAGCAAACAAATGAACATTCTGCCATTTCAAATGACCTTTGCAATGCCTCTAAAATGGACATACCAAACATTTCGACATCATCTCTTAATCTTTCATCATAACCAATTAAACCAACTTGCGATTCAAAAGTTTGCACAGAAAAGCATTTGTCATAAACTTCTATCTCATTTGGTAATTCATCTATCAATAAATATTCATTCTGCACAGTTGAACTTGCTTGCAGATAACCATAAAGTTCATTTCCAGTTGTCAAAATCTTGTCAATGTCTGATGACAACCAAGCATTTTGATTTTTTACCCTTGAAAAAATTATGCTTGATAATGCATTAGCCACACATTGTTTACCACTTGTAATTCCAAATACTTCAGTACAACCTTGATGAAAGTTTCCTTGCAGAGATGAAAATATTCCAGTGCCAATACTCATACCAAATTGTACCTTATTTCTCTTTTCTTTCCCATTCTCTAATTGAATATTTCTTTCCTGTTGGCATGATTCCTGGCTTCTGTTATTTTGAAATTTCTGTTCCATTCTGTTCTCAGACATATCCTCCATTTTGTTCTTCAATGTTTCTATATGGTTCTCATATATATCTATCTGATTTTTGTTCTTCAGTTTTTCTATATTGTTCTCATGAATTTCTTTCTCAGTTTTGTTCTTCAGTTCTTCTATATTGTTCTCATGTAATTCTTTCTCAGTTTTGTTCTTCAATTTTTCTATATTGTTCTCATGTATTTCTTTCTCATTTTTGTTTTGTATATTTTCCTCATTTTGAATCTTGCACCTTTTCTGATTTGTCCTACTAACTGCATCACCCACTTCTGACAGTGATGGTACACTCGCTGGTGTACAAACGCATCGCGGCGAGTCAGTTAGTGGCGCCTGCCCTGCTTCACACACTGGTGAAGGTACACTCTCTGGTGTACAAACGCACACTGGCGAGTCAGACATAGCTATGTTACCCCTCTCAGGGATAGGCAGACTTCCTTGAAGAGGTACCAACTTCAAGGCATTTAAAGGATCTGCACCTGAAACAGAATCCTTACCGTCCTTTGAGGGAGTCTCTGCTACCCATCTGCGATGAACTTTATCTCTGGATCTTTGGGATGCTTTTCCCTTTCTTGGCATCTAAGAAATTTATAAACAAATGTGAACGACAACACAAGAGGCCCGTAGGCCACATCGTTCACCTGAGCACTATGGCTATCAATTCAGTAAATTTTTAAGTGATCTCGATCCTAAAAGAGGGGGGGGGGGGGGAGGGTTATGATTTGAACAAACTTGCAGGGGCGTAGCAACAGGGGGGCCAAGGTCCCCCCCACTTTTTTCCCGTACCTTACTACCTTATTATAGGAAATGTGAATAGAAAGCCTGGTTGCCCCTCTCCACCCTCCCACACTTTGAGTGATGTACCAAAAATGTACTATTAGATTTGGTACTGAGAGTAGTTGACACAACACTGTCCATTGTGTCCCCCCCCCCATCCCTGAGGGTCATGCTTTGAACAAACTTGAATCTACACTACCTGAGGATACTTCTATATAAATATGATCAATCATGGCTTTGCTGTTCTCAAGAAAGAGTTTTAAACGATTTTTCCTTTATATTCTGATATAAATTGTTGATCGTCCATTTTGGCCCCACCCTACCCCCGGGGTCATGATTTAAACAAACCTGAATATTCACTACCTGAGGATACTTCCATATAAATATGACCAATCATGGCTTTGCTGTTCTCAAGAAGATTTTTAAGGATTTTTCCTATATATTCCTATGCAAAACTTTGATCGTCTATTGTGGCCCCACCCTACCCACGGGGGGTCATGATTTGAAGAAACCTGAATCTACACTACCAAAGAATACTTCAATGTAAGTTTCATATTTCCTGGCCAAGTGGTTTTTTCAAAGATGCCATAAATTTTTCTGTAATTTTCAATTATCTCCCATTGAAATGGGGTGTGGCCCTTCATTTGAACAAACTTGAATTCCCTTCACACAAGAATACTTTGTGATAAATTTGGTTGAAATTTGTCCAGCGCTTTTTGAGAAGAAGTCGAAAATGTGAAAAGTTACAGACAGCTGGACGCCAGACAAAATGTGATCAGAAAAGCTCACTTGAGCCAGGTGAGCTAAAAACTTGTATTGACCTTTGCCCTTCGACAAACTTCATACAGTATTGAAGATATTTTCTCTCTGTATGTTTATATAATGGAAAGATACCACAAATGTATTAATATACATATAGGTGTATCCATGTACTAAGATTCTTGCATATTAATAAACATGACTAATCATGGCCTTGCTGTTCTTGAGATTTATCATTTTTATGGCTTTTCCCTGACTGTATATAAATTATAACTAGAACTGTCCAAAAGGGACAAAATACCCCCCGCTGGGTTTTATCCATAATAAAGATAGATATCACACATGAATTATGAAATTTTTCTTACAGTGACCTTGGACTTCCCCAAATGACCTTGGGTCAAGGTCATGAAACACCCTTGGGTCATGGGCAATCTTTGTGTGAAATGAGAACCTACCAAGTTTATCAATAAGAAGGATATGGACCGGAAATGAATTATGAAATTTTCTTCCAGTGACCTAGAACTTCCATAAATGACCTTGGGTCAAGGTAATGACACACCCTTAGGTCATGGACAATCTTTGAGTGAAATGAGAACCTACCAAGTTTATCCATAAGAAAGATACGGACCGGACACGAGTAATGAAATTTTTCTTCCAGTGACCTTGAAGTTCCTAAATGACCTTGAGTCAAGGTCAAGACACACCCTTGGGTCATGGGCAATCTTTGCATGAAATGAGAACCTACCAAGTTTATCCATAAGAAAGATGTGGACCGGACACGAATTATGAAATTTTTCTTCCAGTGACCTTGAAGTTCCCCAAATGACCTTGGGTCAAGGTCATAATACACCCTTAGGTCATGGGCAATCTTTGTGTATAGTAGTGGATTTTAATGTCCCTCGGTAAGAAAGATATGGACGGGACACATTTGCACAGACGGACAGACAGACAAGGTGATTCCTATATACCCCCCCAAACGAAGTTTGGGGGGGGGGATAATTAATCAAATTTAAATTCTGATGTCCTATTGTGGTACCATTCTACCCTTTGACTTGATGTCATAATTTGACTTGATTGAATGTATATTGCTCAACGTCCCAATGATCCATTATATAGCAGAGTGGTCCTTTTACATATTTCAGGTGCATCATTTCAAAGTAAGGTGACAATGTGTACAATAATTGTATATACAGTGTATTTATCAACTGTAGTTATACACCTTATAAATAATCAGCTGGTCATTATGTGCCTTACATATGTGTTACTTTTAAATTTTTTTCAATATTGAAAACTCTATAACTTCAGTCTATGCCATAATTTACAAATACATGCGTATACAAAATCGAACTTAAAATCACATATCGGTAATACAAAACTCTGATAGCAACATGGGTCAAGATTCTGTACAGGAAATTTACTACCTTGTATAAAATACAAATTTGCTGATCAAATGCTTTAACTATGCCAACACTTAGCAGCACGTACTTGAAGTTGTTATGTAATTTTATTCTAATAGTTAAATGCATTTTTATGATACCATAATAAACTTAATTTCTTTGTGTTGAAAATGTAACCAAAGAAAACAAGATGTGTTTGTGAAACACTATGCACCCGGCGTCAACAAAGTTCGAAAAAGCTATTTTTAGTATATAGGTCACAGTCAAGGTCACAAGATCATTGAACTTGGTGTTGTTTGTAAGAACTTAATTAGTGGGGTATGCATACTAAATATGAAGTCCCTATCTCCTATGGTTCAAAAGTTATGGCAAAAAGTGGAAAAAACTATTTTTAGTATAAAGGTCACAGTCAAGGTCACAAGGTCATTGACCTTGATGTCATTTGAAGGAACTTTATTAGAGGAGTATGCATACCAAATATGAAGTCTCTATCTCTTATTGTTCAAAAGTTATGACAAACAGTTGAAAAACCTATTTTTAGCATATAGGTCACATTCAAGGTCACAAGGTCATTGACCTTGATGTCATTTGAAACAACTTTATTAGAGGAGTATGCATACCAAATATGAAGTCTCTATCTCTTATGGTTCAAAAGTTATGACAAACAGTTGAAAAACCTATTTTTTGCATATAGGTCACATTCAAGGTCACAAGGTCATTGACCTTGATGTCATTTGAAAGAACTTTTTTAGAGGAGTATGCATACCAAATATGAAGTCTCCATCTCTTACGGTTCAAAAGTTTTGGCTAAGGTTAAAGTTGACAACAGACAAACAGACAGGACAAAAACAATATTCGCCCCAAAAAAATTCGGGTGCATAAAAAAAACGGACAGATAATTTTAATTTATATGACTTGGATCTATACTTTACACAGTTCAAAACATCAAGCTAATAAATTTGAATTATATTAACAACCTAGAAAAATGTCTTAAATTTTTCCTTCATATACAAGGGCTGTTTGAAAATCATTGAGACATGTGTATATTCTGCTTTCTAATGAACGTCTTTCGGTGAAAATTTGCATATACATTTGAAATACACTATTTCCTGTACAATGGTATATAAATGCGTCAATAGTAGGGGTAGCCAGAGCTTTCACAAAATTAGATATTGAAAATATGTATCACCAAAGTTCAAACTCTTCGTGAACCCATAATAAGAGTGAAAATAATTCAGCTTATTTGTACAATTTTTCAGCTTTATTTCAAATTCATTATGTGCAACTTTGTTAGAAATTTGATCAGGAATACGCAGATCATAAAAAATGAACCGTGGTAGAGAAACCTGCTAAGAACGCAAAATTTGATTTTGACGTCAAGGGTGGAGCAGCCAGCTTACTTAAAATTTTTATTTTTTAACAATTAATTCACCCAGAGTAAAATCAAAAGCTCCAGACAACCATCGTGCAGTTATTACGTACTGTATTAATATTGTTGATCCATGTTGCATAAATCTGCACTGCATGATTCTAAGTCACATTTTCCCACAAATGATAATTTTACACTGGGGTAACAAGAGCATACATTTTTAAAGAATATTTTAAGAAAAGAGATTTGTTTGATTTTTGTAATGTTTTATGTAATAAATAACAAAGAAGGAAAAGTTTTATACACTTTCCGGTCGTTTTACATGCAAACAATCTCAGGCTGAAGTGACTTTAAATGACATAGCGATGCTGCTCCGGGTCAATGGACATATGCATGTTGATTATTTCACCAAACTTGACTTATTATCATAGCAATTAGAAATTTTGCATAAGTGTTATATTCATTCTTTATAAAATGTTGATGAATTTTCATGATATTATTTGTGTTCGTTAAGGAGTAAATGTAATTGATTTCACAAGAAACGTTTTACATTGGTTTTACATAGGAAACCACTATATAAATGGTGCCTGTTTTGTAGGGTAACATTTGAAATTGACACCCCAAGGAAAACCATTGTCAACCGACGCATCAGCAAAGGTTGACAATGGTTTTCCGTGGGGTGTCAATTTCAAATGTTACCCTACAAAACAGGCACCATTTATTTTATTATACTGAATGTCTTACTGATTTAGGACGTCAGCAAAAAAAAAACCGTCGATCGTCTTTACGTTCATGTATAGAAAGCTTTCACACTCACCGGTTCACTAATCTCCTTATTGTTTGTTTGATACTCGAATTCGAGTCATTTATCATATAAAGTTTCGTTATTTCTGGCTCGCAAGCATGTTTCCTACACTCGCAAGCATGTATCGTCTGTCGTTTGTTGTTTTCAAGTAAGCTATATTGGACGCAAGCTTTTATTGACGTCAAGTTAATTCTGGTTCTTTCAAATGCGCAACTGACGTTTTGAGAATTCTACGGTGAACCGTACGCGCATAATTTCCACGCATGTGGCATTATCGTTGTGTTACCCGTTGTCACGTGTGTTGCTAAGGCTCAGGGTAATCGAATGGATTGTTACCTGCGTCTAATCCAATCAGATTTTAGTATTTAACATGAAAGTATAATAATATATTTTACTTCATCAAGCTAACACAAAACACAGGGATGTGCATTTACCATTGCCCGACGCCTGGGGCGACCAGTTTTAGAGGCCG